CTGGTGTCATACCCTATAGTGCAGTTAGGGGGATAGGCTTGGCACCGCGTGCCATGAAGCAGTAGGTTGGAGCGGAGTAGTCCTTGTCATTTGCATCGGTGTCGGTGATGAGGTCATTGTCTTCAGTGTTGAAGATGGACTTGGCAACGTATGTTGTAGCCAGACTTGCGACGCCAGAATCGGACTCCTCCTCAGACTCCACCTCCGCCTCCTCAGAAGCAGACTCCTCCTCTGAATCCATTTCCTTGCCAACAAACGCACGTGCCTTGCCAGATGAGCTCTTCTTGTGTGATGAAGACTTTGAAGAAGACTTGGAAGAGGACTTTGAGTATTTCTTCTTCTTCTTGTCGTCAGAATCATATTCCTTGCTCTTCTTCTTCTTTTTGTTCTCATTGTCCCACTGCGGACACTCAGAGATGAAGTGGCCAGGTTTCTTGCACTTGTGCCATGTTTTCTTCTTGTAGTCATGAGCAGAAACTTCATCATTCCTTGAGCTTGATCGGGAAGACTTTCTGAAGCCTTTCTTCTTGGTGAATTTTTGGAACTTCTTGACAAGCATAGCAAGTTCCCTTCCAATGTCTTCAGGATCATCAGAACTGCTGTCAGATTCTTCTTCAGATGAGGAGACAGCTTTTGCCTTCAAGGCACGAGTTCGCCCATAGTTTGGACCGTAGATATCTCTTTTCTCAGGAAGCTGAAACTCATGTGTGTTGAGCCTCTCAAGTATGTCAGACGGCTCGAGTGTCTTGAAATCAGGACGTTCTTGAATCATCAGGGATAGGGTGTCAAACGAACTGTCAAGTGATCTCAGTAGTGTCTTGACGACTTCATGCTTGGTGATCTCAGTAGCGCCAAGGGCTTGAAGCTCATTCGTGATGTCAGTGAGTCAATCAAATGTGAGCTGGACATTCTTATTGTCATTTCTCTTGAAGCAGTTGAAGAGGTTGCGAAGGACACTGATTCTCTGATCTCTCTGGGTTGAGACGCCTTCGTTGACCTTGGAGAGCCAGTCCCAGACTAGCTTAGATGTTTCCAAAGCACTCACGTGGCCATACTGTCCTTTGGTCAGATGACCACATATGATATTCTTGGCAGTAGAGTCCAGTTGACCGAACTTCTTGACGTCAGCAGCAGTGACACCTTCTCCAGCCTTGGGAACGCCGTTCTTGACGACATACCATAGGTCGACGTCAGTGGCTTCAAGATGCATGCGCATCTTATTCTTCCAGTATGGATATTCAGTTCCATCGAAGACGAGGCACGCAGCGGAGACTTTAATTATCCCTGCAATCGACATAGCTAAAACTCTAGGTGGTTAAACCGAATCACACAGAACAAGGGAGTACATTGCTCTGATACCAATTGAAAGTGTGTTATATCGACTAGAGGGGGGGGTGAATAGGCGATTTTTATGAAAGTCTTCAAAACGTGGAAGTTATGAAGACAAACGACCGAAATAAACCTATTACCCTGCAGCGGAAGGTAAACTACACTAGGAAAGGCATAGTCAAGTATTCAATAGAGTGAAAGCACAATGACTAAGAGCAGCAATGTAGTAAGGATCAAGTAGGAAGAAATTATGAAGCCAAACAGAACACGCAGTCACTCAGTGAAGATAAAAGATAGTGCAATCATACAATGTCTTCACAAGGAGAAACAATACATAAAGAGAAGGGAAGGATGAAACCAGTGACTTGTTGAAGACAATGATGTGTTGGACCAGTTCCAGTTGTTGTGACAACTGTACGTCTGGTTAGGGCGGCTAGGTATTTAAACCCGAGGACACACAGTCCCGGACACCCAGTCCTGAACACGCAGCTCAGGACACCCAGTCCTCACCGTATTCCCCTTGAGCTAAGGTCACACAGACCTCGCCCAATCACTCTAGTAAGTCTTCAAGGTAGACTCCCAAACCTTCACAGACTTCGTTCACCGGCGATCCACAATGTCTCTTGGATGCTCAGAACGCGACGCCTAACCGGCTGGAGGATGCACAGTCCTCAAGTGTAATAAGTCTTCAGATCACACAGACAAGAAGACTTAAGTGATGCCTAATTCTCTTTGGCTCTGGGTGGTTAGGGCTTTATCCTCGCAAGGAATTCTCTCTCAAATGCTTCGAGGTGGGTTGCTCTCAAACGACAAAAGTCGTATACTAACTCTGAGCAGCCAACCATTTATGGTTGTAGGGGGTGGGCTATTTATAGCCACTAGGCAACCCGACCTGATTTGTCCGAAATGACCCTGGGTCACTAAGGAACTGACACGTGTTCCAACGGTCAGATTTTAAACTCACACGGCAACTTTACTTGGGCAACAAGCAAAGCTGACTTGTCCGACTCTGGACAAGATTCGCTCTCATAGTCTTCACTCGAAGACATAGGTTTTGTTTAAGCATCACTTCAGTCATTCTGAATGGTTCTCTTGGACCCCACTTAACAGTACGGTGGTTCGTATGACTCAACAAAGAAGAAAAAGAACTACGAAAGATCTAAGTCTTCGAGCTCCATAGGCTTCATGCGATGTCTTCTCTTTTCATAGTCTTCAATGTGAATGTCTTCATATACCACCTTTGACTTCAATGTCTTCATACATTTTTAGGGGTCATCTCTGGTAGGAAAACTGAATCAACGAGGGACTTCTACCTGTGTTATCCTGCAATTCTCACAAACACATTAGTCCCTCAACTAGGTTTGTCGTCAATACTCCAAAAGCAACTAGGGGTGGCACTAGATGCACTTACAGCCGCCACACTCGTCGAACTTTGCCAGGCCAGCCACCTGGTCAACGGGAGGCACGCATCTCTTTGCCGGCCAACTTCTTCGTCGATGCCCGCAAGCTGTTTGACAGTTTGCCTCAAGGTACAAATGGACTCCAGCGACAAGTTCTTTTTCCACAATTTTCTATGCGACTGCGATGATTCCTCATCCAATGATGAGGAGATGGTGGCTGATGTGTTGGTCCATGACCACCTTAATAGGCAGCGTACGTTGTTCCGGGGCTCGATCCCGGGACACACTCCGGCATTGAATCGCAACCAAGAGAGCGGCCATTTCCTTCTTTGGAAGGACTACTTTGACACATCCAACCCGCTGTTCAAACATCACCAATTCCGACGGTGTTTTCATATGGCTTGGCATGTTTTCAACCGTATTCGAGAGAGGGTGGTCGGATACGATAATTATTTCGAGTGCAAAGAGGATGCCCTTGGAAAGATTGACTTCTTATCTTATCAGAAATGCACTGCAGCTATCCGGATGCTTGCATACGGAGTGCCTGGTGATCTCATTGATGAGTACGTCCGCATGAGCCAGTCAACGTGCATAGAGTCCATGTACAGGTTCCGCAAGGCTGTGATTGCAGTGTTTGGCCCTAAGTACTTGAGAGAGCCGACTGTTGAAGATATCGTCCGCTTGTTGGCGATCAATGCCAGCAGGGGCTTCCCAGGGATGCTTGGCAGTATATACTGCATGCACTAGGAGTGGAAGAACTACCCTTCTGCTTGGCAAGGGCAGTATATAGGCCATGTCAGGGTTTGCACTATCATACTTGAGGCCGTGACCTCACAAGATCTCTGGATCTGGCACTCTTTCTTTGGCATGGCCGGATCGCATAATGATTTCAACGTGCTTCAACGCTCGCCGGTGTTTGCAAGGCTTACCGAAGGCAACAACCCGCCGGTCAATGTTAACATCAACGGTCACGACTACAACAAAGAATACTACCTAGCTGACGGTATCTATCCTCAGTGGACCACTATTGTGAAGACAATCCCCAACCCTATCGGAGAGAAGAGGAAAAGATTTGCCGAAAAGCAAGAGAGTGCTAGGAAGGATGTCGAGCGTGCGTTTGGTGTTTTACAATCTCGATGGGGCATCGTTCGGTATCCTGGTAGAACTTGGAGCACCAAGAAGTTATGGGAGGTGATGACTGCTTTGTGTGATCATGCACAATATGAGCATAGAGGATGAGCGTCCGGAACGTATCTACGATTAAGGGTTTCAGTCTCAGGGTGACAATGTTGTGCCTGAGCATGGAGGAGGAGCGGCAACGTTTGCACAGTTCACCCAATTTCATCATCAAATGCGTGAATGGAAAACTCACATTCAGTTGCAAAATGATTTGGTTGAGCATATGTGAGCTCATATTGGCAACCAATAGACAATATAATTTTTATTCAGCTTGTAAACTACTCCCTTTGTTTCATAATATAAGAACGTTTTTGACACTAGGGTAGTGTCAGACATGTTCTTATATTATGGAACGGAGGGAGTATGTTATATTTATTTGGGTCGTGGAACTATACTATTTTGTTTGGTTGTGAAATTATAAAAAATGTGTATATGTTTGTTGGAAAACGATGGCAAGCCGACCACGCGGGCAAATATGAGTTGGCCTATTGGGCGCATTGCCGACCAAATCATAAACAGAACGGACGCCGAGCGAACAACCGATCCAAACAGATAAAAAATAGACAAAATCGTTGTCTATTTGGTCGGCACGTTGGAGCTGCTCTAATATATCCAAATTTGGAGCCACACCACTGTTATGATCAAAATGGACTACAAACGAAGCACTCAAAACCAGGCCCCTCGTGTCAACATCTGCCATTATTAGGGTTATATTATGTATTTGTCCCATCACGATTTATGGCATGAAATAGTGTTTAGCACATTGAAATTCACAAGACTCTAGCTAACTAAACCAAACTCATCTTCGAAACAAAACGAGACAGGTCTTTTGCCATGCCACGAATACATACACTGTTGTAAACTTTGTGTATCACACCCCTCCACGCATATTTGTATTTGTATTTACTTGGATGACACAACTGGTTTTCATTTCACTTCACTTTTTTTTACTATGGCAAAGGTGACACAATTTGAATTGAATCGTAGCCCATAATATATTCATCTATCTCTTGATTCTCTTCACACAAAAATATTAGTACTATATGCTTACGCTCGTATCATATCTATAGGTATTCGTAGTAGTTGTTTTCTTTACTTCTTCCTGACTAGGAAAATGCTGAGCTCCGCGGCGCCATCGCCACCCCGGCCGTCGTCGTCCGGGTTGATCATGTAGAAGGCCTCGGAGTCCTTGGACCCGACGACGCGGTCGACGCGGGCGCGCATGTAGGTGAGCTCGCCGTCGGGGCCGTGGGAGCCGTCGGCGGGCGGCGGCGGCAGCACCCCGGCGCCCATGGAGACGCCGCGCAGCAGGCGCAGCACGTGCCGCTCGTCGTCGGACGGGTCCTTGCGGCGGATGGCGTACCCGGCCTTGCGCCCGTTGCAGTAGACGGCCCACACGTACTCCTCCAGGAGCCGCCGGCGCGCGCTGCGGGTGTCGCTCTCCAGCGCCAGCCTCACGGTGCCCGTGGCCATCTCCCGGTGCAGCGCGGCCGCCAGCATGGGCAGCTCGATGAGGAACGCCGGCGGCGCCCGCGTGTCCTCGTGGATGGCCAGGCTCAGCCGGCCGCGGCGGTGCCCGAAGAGCGTCACCGCCGGCGCGTGGTCCGCGAGGAGGGCCCTGCCGCTGTGCCGCCCGAGCAGCGCGGCCATCTTGCAGCCGGTGCTGGTGGTGAGCATCGGCACCAGCCTGAACATCCTGAAGAGCCCCACGACGGCGCCGCCGGTGCTGCCGCCGTGCTTGTTGGTCCGGCGCTCGTCGGTTACCGGCCGGAGCAGCGACCGCAGCGAGCCTGGTTCGTCGATGAGAGAAGGCATTTACGAGGTCGGGTGGACGGATGATTCGGCTGGAGTAGTGAGTCGGCGCATTGGATCGAGCCGAGCTCAGTTAAGGAGAAGGGAGTTGAGGGTGCTACGTCGTTATTTAAGGAGGTGGAAGTAGAGGTTGGGGGGTCGTTTGATTTTGGTTATGTGTTTTGGAACCAGTTTGGGTCGTATCCAGATGCTCAATACATGGCAAAATTATCCTAGCTAGCTAGTCTCTTTCAAGAGAAATTTGAAGATGCATGGTCCCAATCTCTTTGGACCATTAGTTCATTCATCTTGATCCCATGAGGGATGCCTGAGCAGTGTATATATACATGCATGCATGTGTATATATGATCGATCTCGATATAGAAGACGTCTTAATTACAGTGTACTACTGTCGCTGAAAGAAGCTTGGAACTGTTTCTAAGTTGACCTTGAGAAATTTCTGTCAGTATTCAGTAATGCTAATATTTGACGAAAAATTGTACTATGTTCTTTTTCCTCGTGAAACAAAATGTAGTTGCACCATATATATATATATATATATATATATATATATAGAGCACGGCTTTCCTACCATCACTAGCAGCAGAGGGTGCTATCGGAATCCTCCATTTGCATCAAGATCCGAACTTTTAGTTGGATAAGGTTCTGAATTATTGCATTATTGGAGTTCGCATTTACAGAAGAGGAAAGCATGTGAAGAAGCTTTACTGGGCTATGGACGAAAATGGCAAGCTATAGTCTGAAATGACAGATTTATAAGTGGAATGGGGGCAGTTGCTTTCCAGCATTGTTCAACTAGCACGCCCTATTTAGAGAAGGCCTATGCTGTAGGTTTTGTTGCTTAGCTAGCAGCGAAAGGTTCCATACATCTCGGTCTATTTTTAGTAAGTTTTACTCCCAAATGGTTCGGCACCTTTTTCATTACATTAACGCATCAGCCGTCGGATGTTTGCAAACGTTCCTTCTATTACGGGCAGTAAACTCTGCCATAATCTAGGTGCATTACATTACGTGAACACTAGGAGTTTGAGCCTGAAAGCAATCATCTAATGCAACCAACAATGATATCTCTAATAAATCTGGCGCATTTTGGACAAGCAAACCAGCCAACACACCATGGTTTCGACTAGTTTCTTTGTTTATTTAGTATGAAAAGTTCAAGCAGTACAGCCACATGTAATGGAACCCAACGTGTTGGTAGTTAACATGCATTGATTCAATCCGTTTGTTGTACGCATCGGCATGTAATAAATTTGATCGGTGGGAGGTTATTGTGCTACGTAACGCGTTATAAAACTTCCTCTCTGTACATCTAGCTTACATGTTTCACGCAAAGCGCAGTAGTCTGGCATGTGGAGGTCCAAGGCGATGTGTGTGCAGGGATGAGGCTCCCCACACCTTGCTTCTTCATCCGTCGTTGTCGAGGACAGGGATGAGGCATCAGCAGGAGCGAACCCACTGCCGAGTCCAACAGAGGCATGTGGAAGCGACCACCCCCGCGCTAGACCACGGGGAAGCAAGGCGCAGCTCGGTGTAGCGTGTAGGTGCTGCATGTCCGACTTGAATCCTGCTCTCCCCGGCTGCCACCTCACAGCTCTCGATGGAGTTGGCAGGCGAGGACCATGTTGGCAAGGCGTGGAGACCACGACCGGGGGAAGATTTAGAGGCCTACACGCTACCCCGCGGATCCATCCCCGACGTGCCACCTCTGTGATCCGCGGCCAACACCACCACTCGTCCACACCAGACCCTCACAACCCCTCGCCACCACCGCGGACCAGCGATCCAAGCCCGCACCATGGACGCCGGTGAGCCATTCTCCTCGGACCTGGCTCAGCGGCCAGGGCTGCCACCGAGAGCTCTCCTTACGGCCTTAGTGCTCCACCAGCGGGAACTTGCCGCACCTCGCACGAGGCACGAGGGACTGGAGGTTGGTGACGATATTGACCGTGCCCCGTCGACCCGGATCTTGCTGGTATTTGTGCAGCAGATGGAGTCATGAGGGAGCCCTTTGGGGAGCACGGCGACGCGGGTGGGAGAGGATTGGAGCGGGCTGCTCGCCGGGGAAGGGAAGGGCAGAAGGCTGGGGCGGTGGGATCTGGATCGGAATGGGGAGCGACTAGTGATGGAAAACGACTAGCGAGGGGGAGAGAGACGGGGCGGAAATAACCAAAGCCCACAACCTGAGCATAGCACAAGGCCGGAGAAAAAAATAGAAACTACAAAAAAGAAAGCACGAACTGTTCCTGGGGTAGGTACTTCATCAGTAGCTCGGAACCGTTCATGGGCCAAGAACCTTAGTCACGTGGGCCGAGGTCTGCGCCGCGCCAGAAATACCAGCCTACCACTGAGCCTACTGGCCTAACAGGGGGGACCGTGGCCCACTTTGCTCTATATGAGGAAATAAAAGTGAAGCACCTAAAATGCAAGAAATATAAAGAGGGAAAGAAGGTGGACCATATCTCAATGCAAACATGTGGCCTTGATTGCAATCTTTCCAGAGAAACACAATAGCTTT